AGCGCGGAGGTCGGATCGACGGTCAGCCGGTGAGTGATCACCTGGCGGCTGATGCCTGGCATATCGTCCGGGCCCCACGCGAAGACAACGGCGTATGACCGTAGGACGAGGAGGATGGCGTCTCGTTGGTCCTGGGTGAGTTGCTTCCCGACTCTGAGAACCCGCTCCGGCCGGGAGGTATCCAGAAGGATTTCCTCGACCTCTTCGGTCGGCTCCGCATGTGGCCTCTCCTCGTCCATGGCGACGACGGCCGTGATGGTGTCTATCCTCTGGCCTTCCCTCTCGGCCGGCCTCGTTAGTTTGAGGTAGCATGCCCTGGCTATCCTCTGGTTTCCTCTGGCGTAGCCGATGCCGTCGCTGGTGGGGAACTTTAGGCACAAGTGCTTCATGGAGATGATGGCCTCCAAGTCCTCCAGCGCTGGCCGGCCCAAGATCAGGTTGTGGGCGCACTGGAGGTTGACCACCATGAATTCCATGTCGATTCTGGCATGGTGTGGGCCGTCACCGACCTCCACGGGGAGGACTATCGTGCCCTCAGCGTCGATAGAGTCCCCGGTGAAGCCGGATAACGGTGTCTTGATCGGCTTCAGCAGAGCTCTGTCCAGCTTCAGCTGCTTGAAGGTGTCCAGGTACATCACGTTGACGGAGCTCCCCGTATCGATGTAAGTACGGTGGATGATGGAGTCACCGATCTCACACCGGATGACGAGGGCGTCCCTGTGTGATTCCGTACCCGGAGGCAAATCCTTGTCGGTGAAGGTGATCGCCTCCGTTCGCTGCTTCTTCGGCTGGGGGGGGGGGGGACGTGGGACACCTCCCCAATGTAAAGGGATTGGGCCCATTTCTTTCTCTGAGTGGCGGAGTCCCCCCCAGTGTTCCCACCTACGATAAGGTGGATGTGATTCTTCTTCGGCGGGGGCTCTTCGAAGTCCTCGTCGTCGCTGAGCCTACCAATCTCCCGCTTCTTCGTAGAGGGTTCGCCCCCATGTTTGCCGGTGTTTACCCAAGTGTTCTTGCGTGGGCCACCTTTGACAAACTGGGAGAGTTCCCCCTGGCGAATAAGGCGCTCGATGGCCTTCTTCAGTGTGATGCAATCGTCGGTGTTGTGCGACGAGTTCCTGTGGAACCGGCAGTATGTGCCGCCCTGCTGGATGGCAAGGATCTCCTCGGCCGGCCGAGGAGCCTGCTCGATGAGGCCGTGCTTCTCGGCATAATCGAGGATGGTGCCGACCGGGTGGGTGAGGGTTACCCCCGGCCGTTCCAACCTCGGCCGCCAGTGGCGGTCTTTCTTACTCTGTCCACCAGAGCCGTGACGGCCCTGGGCACCCTGGCCGGCCGGGGACGGACCCGGGGCCGGCGAAGGATTTGTCTTCTTGGAGGGATGGCCCCCCTCTTTCTTGTGATTATGAAGCTCGTCGGCGTCGGCGTACAAGCCTCCGCGCTGGAGCGCCTTGGCGTACGACCTCGGGGGGTCGGTGATAAGGCTCCTAGCGTACGGGGAAATGCGGAGGGCTCCCTGGTACAAGGCGAGGAGGGTGCGCTCATCGGCCCCCTCGACCTCCTCAGTCTCCCTCATCCACTGATCGATGAATGACCGAAGGGACTCCTCGTGCTGCTGCTTGACGGAGAGGAGGTGGGTGAAATACTTCTTTGCGCGCTTCCTCCCGGCAAAGTGGGTGAGGAAGCGTTGGGCGAGATCCTGCCAAGAGTCGATGCTCCCTTCGGGGAGCGCGTTGAACCACTCGTACGCTGGCCCCTCGAGAGTAGAGAGGAACCAACGACAGAGGTATTCCTCGGACGCGTTCACCATCAGCATGTTGTTTTGATAACGGCTAAAGTGCTCCTGGGGGTCTGATCGGCCGTCGTAGGACTTGATGGCGTTCCCCCTGTACTTCTCCGGAATGGGGCCGAGAGGACCCTGTTGGTGAAAGGGGTCCTCGTGCTGACCTGGATGATAGGGTCACCTCGCCCCTCGGCCAGCTCCCTCTCCAGGGCGCTAACCTTGTTCATGAGCGCGTTGAGGCCGGGGTCGTTGGAGGCGCCGGCCGTAGGGATGTTGGCCGACTGCTTGGCCTCCATCTGGGCGAGCCTCCTTTCCAGCTGGGCGATGACCTCATCCCGGGGGTCCCTGGCAGCCGCAGCGACGCCCGGCTGGTTCCTCATGCGCTCGTTGTGAGCCGCGTTGATCTGGTGACGCACGTCATCCTCGTGCAACTTTCCTTTGCCCTTGTCCGGGCGGGGCTGGTCCGCTGTCCGGGACACAGACCCCAAGCTTTCCCTCGGCGAGCCAGGACGAGGCTCACCAATCCGTCCCGCCGTCCTCTCCGAAACCGGACGACGGCGCGTGTCACCTAGCCTATTGAAGGCAAAGGTTTTTCCACGCGCTGGGGTCTGCCCAGGCCGAAGAGGGGAAGCATGGTGGGAGTGGGACGACGCCGTGTCCTGGGGCACCACCCCCTCATCGTTGCCTATCTGGACGGCCAACGGTTGGGGCTGAGGAGGTTGAGTGACGTTCCCCCCGGTCCTTGGCAAGAGTGCGCTGAGGACGGTGGGGTTCTGAGCCAAGCTGGCGATGATGGCCGATAGTGCGGCCTGGACCTGAGGATCTACGGACGGGGAGGCCGCGGCCATAGGCTGGGCCGGGGCGTGATCCGTCTTCTCAGCTCGCTTCTTGTCCAAGCCGAGGTGGGCATCAGGGACTCCGCCGTTGAGTTGGTTGCGGAGGTCCGTTGTGAGGTTGAAGGCCTCCTGGAAGAGGTCCCCTCCGCCGACCTGGTCGGCCGTGGCGTCCTCATCGTGCTCCCTGGGCTCTTGGTCCTCAGGGATGGCTTTGCTGACGAGGTTGCGGTTTGACTTAGTTCTCCCCATGATCAGTGGTTAGCTGTGCTTGGTAGCGACGAAGGGTGCTAACTTGATTGTTCTAGCTCTCAAAGAGAGCACCAAATGATAGAGTATATCTAGAGAGAAGTGAGTGCTAGAGAGAGAAGTGCAATAATATGCTTCAATAGAATGAATTTGTAACCCCTATAACTACTCCCAAGGGGAGTATTTATAGAGAAAATACGGGTTGGGCTCCCAAGCCTTAGGCTTGGGAGGCCCATTTACAACTGGACCGCTACTGGGCCGAATACAAAGCCACTAATGGGCTGTACAAATGAGTAAGTGTAGAATCCGGTTCTGCGGAGTCTTCGTGGCCGACGAGGGCGTGGCCGACGAGGGCACGGCCGACGAGGGCACGGCCGACGAGGGCACCCAGGTTCCTTGGCTTCAGGACCATAATCTGAGTTGGCACCTCTTCGGCCGACGGGGGTCCCTTGGCCGACGAGGGCGCCACTCTGTGTCTTGTGCTTTCTGTTCTTCCGAGTATGTGGGTCCGGGGGCTCAGACCCATATACTCCATCACCACCTCTTCGGTAGGAATGCCAAAGAATCCCACACCGGTGGGCTGGGAGAGTCCTTGGTACCTTATAAGGCTTAGGCTGTTCACCACTATCGACGCGTTTTAAATATGTGAGGGGGAACCCAAAGCGGACAGTATCGGTAGGCTGCCTCCCGGCTATGGGATCGATCCTTCAAGTACCAAAAGTGTCATTGACATAATAGTCAGAGGACCAAAAATGGAAAAAACTCAATGTAATGCTCGCTAAAAGTTCATGAATGCTCATTTGACAGAAACCATGATTTTCATCTCAAAAGAAGAAGTTTGATACTCAATGAAAATTTTGTGACGTTCAAGTAACAAATCTTACGATTTTCATATTAATGAACATGTTGTAAGTTATGTATGCTCATTTAGTACTGATGTTATGCTCATTTTAAAATGTCATATCAATGCATATTTCAAAAACATCCTATTACATTAAATTTGCATATTAAAATTTATAGGAGTGTATTATAGATATAGTTTAATAAGTTTTTATTAAAAAATAAGACAAAAAGTGAATTATAAGATATGAAGCAGAGATCATAAAACTCAATGTTACCCTCCTAATACTCAGTAAAATAGCTCAGATGCTCATTAAGCGTACATTATTGCTCATTTAGCGGAAGTCGTGACTTTTTTCTTAAATTACAAAAATGGCACCGATCTTTTTTTGACCTGTAACAGTTATTGGACTGTCTTACCTAATTAGGTCGGGTGTACGTACATCCGGATGTACCATATAGACCCTGGAGTCAAAGTAACTGGTTACTCCCTTTACCACATTCCTTTTCCTAATACTAATATAGAAATTACTCCAAATAGGACTAAAACTATGTTAAAAACTCAAAATAGGACTTACTATGTTTTTCTTTTCAAAAATAGGCCCATATTAGTCCTGTTGGAAATATACCTATTTTTCATTCCATTCTTACCTATTCTTTAAATATGAGTTAATTAAATATTTAACTCATAATAAATTCGAAAACAATTCAAAAAATCGTAGAAAAATAATTAAAAAATTTATAAAATATTTATAAAATATTTTTTTTTTACTTTTTGTTTAAAAAATTAATAAAAAATAGTAAAACTCCATTAAAAAAATAAAAAAAATACGGATGCCTTTCCCACCGTCTGTACTACCTACTTGCACCACCATCTCCGGTCGGTGAAAAAATGTCATTTTCCCTAAAAACTGCCATTTTTTCTGAAAATGTCATAAATATGGCATTCGTAATGAACTTGACATTTTTTCTTTTGGTGACTGGAGGTTGTGGTGCAGAGGTGGCGGTGAATTTTATTTTATATTTTTTAGTTTTCTATTTTTTTAAATTATTTTTTTTGAAAATAAATAAATAAATGAATTATTATTATCAAAATATATTTATTAATGTTTTAGTATTTTTTACGATTTTTTATTATCTTTTATTATTTTATTATGAATTAAAACATTTCAATAACTATAAGAATATACTTGTCCAAGACACAAATAATTAATCTTATTAAAATATAGTTTTTTTTTGTCCTATTTGTATAAAATGAGTGACTTTTAATCCTATTTTGATAATTAACCCGTACTAACACACAAAATCATTGGCCTTCCACCGATCCCGGCCACCGATCCCGGGCACCGATCATCTGAATACTACACACAAAACCCCCATCACGAACAGCAGATTCACTGAAAGTGTGAACAGAGATAGACGATAAAAGAATGTCAGAGAACTTCGAGCTGACTTTATAGAGAGGGGTGGGATTTTTTTGTTTCTTTTGGTTCTTTTGTTGCTACTGAAGAGATGAACCCGAGCAAAGTTGAAGAAGACATTTTCGACCACCATTTGAGCCCGCACCACCACCACATCCTGAATCAAGCTCAGCCGCCGGTTATAGACCAACGCGCCGACGAAGACGAGCCTTTTGCTTTCCACGACCTCGTCCTCTTCCGCGACGACGACGATGACGACGACGCCAGCCATACCTCATCGGAATCCGAGCTTCCCCTCATCCACCGGAATCGGCATCAGTCCTCTTCTAACCCGCCAGCGCTCCTGCAGACACGGAATCAGTCGAATTTGGACGAATCCGTCTTCCGAAGCCCTAACCCTAGCCCCAATTTGGGCGTTGAGAAGAGGCATCGTTATGAACCCGGATACGTCAGCCCGGACCCACACATCTCCTCCCAATTCTACACATTCAACAAGGAATCTCACTCTCTGATGATACGCTGCCTCTTAGAAGGCCGCCCTGCAACTCCAGAAGAAATCCGCGCCGCCAACCCTGCCTCCGTCCTCTCCAGCTGGCGCGCTGTTTGGAAGGACCGCAATGAAGACACCGCCTACCTTACTGCCTGGAAGCGTATCCAGGACAAGCTCAGCGCACATGTCAACACCTCCAATGGTAATGAGTACTTGTACTTCAAGAACAATTCCAATCAATGTGTTTCGTATGTTGACCAGTGGCATGGTATAGTCACTCATTTCCATTGCGATGCTGAATCTAAGCACTTAGGTCTCAAGGAAACCCTTGAAAGAATCAAACAAATGTGGACTGTAGGTGCAAAGTTCTATGGTATCCCAGAGAGTTATATTAGAGTGTGTTTGTCTGAATGTCCGGTTTGCCTAGATGAAACATCTGGGTGCGCCCCGCGTGGCAAACGACGCAGGTTTGAGTACACAGAATCAATTGATGTTCCGGCTAAAGAAGTTCCCACTCGATTACAACAGTTAGCTGCAAAACATAAGGTTGTATTGTGTATAAGGCAGAAGTACATTCGGTATAAGCCGTTCATGGCGGAGGTTAAAGATTACACATGTCACCGAGCGGGTGAGCCGGCATCCTCAAAAAAATCAAAGCTTTTGAAGAGAGAGCCTTACATGTCGAAACGGTGTGGGTGTGGGTTTCGGATTCGGGCGATCGTCCCAATATCAAACTATAACGAGAAAGATAAGACTTTTGTGTATCAAGAAGAGGGTATGGCTGTTTTTAAGCTATATGCAGTGCATTCGGGGCACCAGCCCGGCCCATCTGATGGGAACGCAAGAATCATGCACCGTGTTGTTGGGCATAAAGGAGGCTTCTTGATGATGGATCAAGAAACAATTTATGGGGTGAGAGAAGAAGTAGATAATGAGGATTTTGGGGATATGCAGCACTCGGTTTTGCAGCAATTGCAGGAGGCAAGAAACGAGATCGAGCTTATGGAAGGGCAAATCGGGAAGTTACCTGATGAACTTTTGTGTTCAGCTTCTCGGGAGCTGCTTGATATTGTAAGTAAGCTTAAAAGTGTTAGAGAGTGCTGTTCATCTAAGTCAAATGGAATTGGTGTGATCCCTGACAAACACGATACAGATGATGTCATGGTGGGGGGAAATGATTTGGTCGATTGGGGTGGTGGTCATCATCAAAGGTTGTATGATGATGGAAAGGAAGCTGAGTTTATTGAAGAAGATGAAGACAGCTTTGGAAGAACACTCGGGGAAGTTGCTTCTTGGGATCAAATGAGGACAGTTTGTAAGTCAGACAAGCAACAATTGAAAGGCATCGAGTTTGATGAGAAAAGCTTTCTTGATTCCAGGGATTCAAAATTGACGAAACCCTTGCTAAGGCATGATGAGAGTATAGATACTGATGTAGGATTTGTTGTCGAAAATTTCTATGAAAATCCTAAATGGTTTGATTCACCATGTGGGTTAGACTCCGGAGCAGATTGTGGTGACAGTGAATTCAGGCCTGGGGGAATTGTTTAGAAATACACTCAAACTGACATTTATTTTTTTTCCTTGGTGTTATTCTTCATCCGTTTGAATTGTTGAAAGTGAGTTGTACATGTGTATTTAAACAAAAAGATTGATGGTTTTCGTAGCATTTTAGTTGTCTTTCCTGATAATATTTTTAGTTTGTGTAGGTAAAAAATGTAAACTTTGGTTCTTGATTTGGATATCTCTGGCTGTCCTTTCTTGCTATTGTTATTAATATAATGTTTTTTCCCATATCTGTCGTTACATTAATGATATTTTTAGGTTATTTTGTTGCTTTGCTAAAATATAAACTGTGTATCTTCATTTTGATATTCCTAGCAGTCTTTTGAGCAAGAGCTAATATGAATGTGTTTTAGTTTGTCTAGTATATCTAGAACAATGAAACTGAAAGCTTTGACATCACAGTGTTCTATTTTCAGTTTCTGACTTTCAGTTACATTTACTACTATTTCAGTAAGCCTAAACTTTGTTTGTTGATTTTTTTTTTATTTTTTTCCGATGCAATATATATATATATATATATATATATATATGAAGTTGTTATCAATAGTCATAATGGTGAGTCATGAGTGGAATTATGTGTGTTGGGACCCTTGGCCATAGTACTCTTGATGCTTGCTATTCCTGCTAATAGTCTAATACTCCGTATGTACTTGAGAATTTGGACAGAACTTTTAGTGAGGCCTTCATTAGTTCATTTAGTGAAGTTTGATTACTTCATTCTTTATGTTTCATGTTTGAGCAATTGCATCAGGCCACCAAGTTGAGATGCAAGCTATAGCCCCATAAGCTAAAGTGAATTAATTACTCTTCATTTTGGCTCTGGTCCTTTTTGACAAATGTAAGCCTAAGGGTCAGGTTGGATAGTCCGGAGAGTATTCTGGAGGGCTGAAGTCTATATATCTTGATACACATTTGAGATTTGATTTTAAAAAGTAATTGAATAGGCGACTGTATGACATACCAATCACCAATCATTTGTTTTTAGAAACATTTTTATATTTATAAATATGGCCTCAAAGTTTTTCCATCCAAAACCTTCCATCTGAACTGATACTGAAGTGTGTCTAATAGAATGGGCTATATTACTATCTGAACATATATTGCATAGAAATGATAGAATATTCACCAAGTAATGGGATCTTTGTATGTATACATCAACATACAGGACACAGGAGCTACCGAAGAGCGTTTACCACCTAGTTTTCTTTTATCCTAAGTAAAGCTAGTCTTAGATTTACTACTTCGACACACTGATACATGATAGGGGAAGAAAAGACTACCCAGGGGATTTTTTCTAACTCTCAAATGAAATCCTGATCTGAGGATTTTTTCTAACACCTCAGAACCTCAGAGTTGTTCTTTTACAAACCTCGAGTGTTTTGTTAGATGTTTTGTGAAGAATTGAAGACCCATGAGGACTACCTCAGCAAGTAGTGCAATCTTAGCTCACAAGCAACGCTGCAGCAGTAGTGGGACGTTGCTGCTGCTGCAATGGCCAATGGAGCGTCCTAGCTGCAATCTATTTCTTAGATCTTGGTTGGTTGGTGGATTTTGGGGGGAAGGGGATGGGGGGTTGAATTTTATTCCACTAATTTATTTCTATTTCTTAGAGAAATTTTCTTTTTTGCACTTCACCGCTAAAGAAATAAATTAGGGAAAATCACACTTTTGGACTATCAATACATTCACTAGGGATAACATTTATAACACATCTGTCAATTTAGGGATGACTTCTACAATTAGGGATGGACCCAACCGGTTCGGCCCGGTTGGTGCTAATTGGGCCCGGCTTTTACCCGGTTGGGGAGGGGTGGGCGGGCCGGGCTCGGGCCCTGTTTTTGTTGAACCGGCCCGGGCTTTTTTAATTTTTTTTTTTGGTTTTTTCAATTTTTTTTTTGTTTTTTGTGGTTAGGGTTGGATGTTTTGTGAGGTGAAGGGGGGTCGGGGGTTAATTAAAAAGCAAAAAAAATTACCTTTACCCGGGCCCGGCCCGAACCCGGCATCAACCCGGGTCGGTTCCGGGTCCAACAATTTAAAAAAAAAGCCCGCCCGGGCCCGGCCCGGAATCGGAACCGGCCCGGCCCGGATCCATCCCTATCTACCATCTCTGAAACACGAGTTTGACATTTCTTTATCTTTGCACATTTGCATTTTACTTTTTGTTCCATCTACTGATTGGACAAGCGCTCCTTTAAGTCCTTTTAGTTGCATTGTGTTATTTCAAGGCATTATGTTACTGGCTTTTTATATTACTACCTCCGTCCCTCTTATATTGTGGGGTTGTGTGGTTGATATTAATTGATAAAGTAAGAATAAAGTAAGAATGATTTAGAATCACACAAACTTTACTAAATATGTTATGAGACAATTTTAGTGAGACTTCCCGAAAAGGTAAAACGGGACAATATAAGAGGGACGGAGGGAATATCATTTATCAACTTCCATTTATTCCTTTTTCTTAAATGAGATTTTCACATTACACTTGAACTTCAAGCTGTGTCATAACATCTTTCCGATGTCCAATATTTTGACTATAAAGTGGAGAATGTGATTACATATTAATCTTATATTGATCTTTAATGTTTCATAATATTTTGACTTTTCAATACTCGCTTGTGATTCTCTTCTTTCTCAAGACTTGCGTGAAATCATTCGCTTTATTTTTCTTTTATCTCTCTAGTGTTGATAAACTAATTTAATTCGATGTTTTAGTTTTGGAGTATATAATTTGAGGTTTAAGAATATGCAATTCGATATTTTAATTAAAAACATGTCATACTTACTGAAGTTAAAAAACGTATTTTGGACATTTGAGCGGACTACAGTAGGGGCGGAATTATTAGTGGGGTCGGTCCCTGTATTTGTAGACGTATTGGCTGGATTATAAGTTATTTTTAAAATTAAGTAATTAATCAATAACGAGGTGCTTTCCATAATATTATGTACTACGTAATTAAAATTATGTAACTATTGATTCTTGGATTAAAACATTTCATCAAAAAAATCCACCGGACACCGCCCCAAATGATGACGGCCGGACAGAGTCTCCTATAAAATTGCTTATTTGCACTTTTATGAAAGTTCGAGGACTTATTCGATAGTTCCCCCTACTTATTTTAAAGTTTGCAAGGTGCTTTTCAAAAGTCATAATTCTTTTTTATCATTAACCAGTTATGAGAGTCACAATATACTCCAAATCAAATTAGAAGTATCTTAGAACTCTTTACTAACTTTCAGGGCAGCTTTATAATTACGGACAATCTCGGCGCACCCTTGATGTTGCTAGTCGCACCTCTTTTTCCATGTTATTGGACACATTTGTCCTCTTTGATTACTCCGTATATCTCAAATTTTCTACGGAGTAGCGTATAAGATCATCACTATCATATAGAGTACCAAGTATCTCCGTTCATTGATCTGGATTTTTTTAATGAGCCTCCTTTTATTGCTCTTTTAAAATAAAAATAAGTTTTGATATTTTATTGAATTATGTGTATCATTTTTCTAAAAAACAATGTAACTATCTTTGAATATACTGCAATTCCTAATATAATCGGGATTACACATTCTAATTACCATCAAGCAACAACTATATAAATATTTGTCCTTGCAAAATAAAATATTTTAGTATTTTTAATACATAACTAATGCTCTTATAATTTATTTAAAATCTTCTTATACAATGGAGGATAAATCTAAAAATCTAATAAATAGTATTCTTGTTTTTCAGACTTATGATGTATTTATCTATCTTAATTGATATTAGTCACTTCATTTGTCCCATTATGTGTACTTGGGTTCTTCTTTTTTACGTGTTTCCCTTCTTTTTCAGGACCAGATATGGACGCCAAGGCTTATGCCAGATTGAAGAAGCAAATGGCCAAGGAAGGCAAGAAGAGGGAGGTTCCCGCCAACAGAGGCTTGTGGACGAGTTTTTTCCGAAGGGGGTCCCTGAGGGCACAGAGCCCTCGAAGAAAACTGTCACCGGTGCCGATGCTGAGGCCGGAGGCTCCCAGGCTGCTGCTGCCAAGCGGAGGGCGGCGGGTAAATGTGTTGTGCCAACCGAGAAGAAATAGAAGAAAGGGGCCCCCGAGATGAAGGAAGCCCCCATCGTCATCCTCGAGGAACATTCCTCCTCCGAGCCCTCAGGTCAGACAGTTGAGATGCCATGGCCCCAGGAAAATGTGCAATTCTCCGTTACCAAGGAGACTGCCATTATGCATGGCACTCTAGACCCGAGGGAGTTCCTGCGGGGTGCCACTCCTCCGACAAATAAGTCGGTGCTCTCTCGGCAGAAGGACGATGCCCTCGGCTCTAAGGTCCTCCAAGCCTCAGTCACTGTAAGATTCCCCTTTTCTTCTTCCTTTAGTCAATTTAACATATCGTGCGTAGCACCTCAACTTTGTCGTTTGTTGGTTCCCTTTGCAGGCATGCCTCGGCCTCGGTGAGCTCATCCAGAGGATGGAACAATCACATCTGCAGAAGTTGAAGGCTGACGACCCTGGTCGAGGCCCGGAGGCAGCTTCAGGAGGCTCACGAAGCCTTCCGGTTGGAGAGGGAGGCCTTCGGCAAAATTCTCGAAAATTCCAAGAACCCCAAATTTCCCACCCAAAAATACCTTTAAATAAAACATTATTTATTATCTTTATTTGAAAACATCAGAATTGTGCAGCGGAAATCAAAAGGGAAATAGGGTGTTACCGCCACACTCGGTTCTAACCTAACCGAGTGCACATGCTAAAACAATTTAAACTCAAAATAGATTAAAATTCTAAAATAAATGTTCACTAATTTAAGATGCTGAAAATGTAATTACAATTATTTACTAATTTTGTGTTCTAGCGGAAGCTCTCTCGAAATCAACTTTAACGGGATCAACTCAACACCTGTACAAAATATAGTACAGAAAAAAAACATTAGAAACAATGGTAAGTAAGTTCCACCTAACCCCCAAAAAAAATATATGTATATTTGTAAAACATTTCGTAAAATATATTTTCAAAATAATTTATAAATCATAAGTAAAACAACTTTTATAAAATATTCTTATAACACAAATAATATGCAAAATATCAATATTTCAAATATAAGTACATATTTCAAACCATAATAATACCAAAATATCAATATACATAAACATCACAATAATTTCAAAGCATAAATCAAATATTCATCTCAAAATACATATAAATAACTATAAACAATATTCAACATAATTAAACCAAATCAAATCCAA